TTCCCAGATCAAGGTGCGGAGAACTGTCTGAGCCTGTATCTTCTGTACCTGCACCTACATCCTTCTCATCCTTCTCTTGAGGCAGTGGAGTTCAGCTTCTTTTTTACTAGAAAAGAAGCTGAACTTCACTATCTGGAGTTTCTATCTGGTCCTTTCTCATGCGGTCGGTCATTCTGCACTCAGTTCCCTGCTTTTCTGAACTTCCTAGACTAGCTCTCATAGTGGAGGTCTGGCTCAAATCCTGGGAATCCTGTGTGTAGGTGATGTGCATCGTTCTCAGACCCAGAAAGTTGTGTTCATGTGCACAGCACCCCACAAGTAGAGGCAGCCCCTGCCCTTCTTTCCTTCGGGTTCGATCAGCTGATAAGATCCCATCTCAGACAGCAGGCTCTGGCCTTGAGAAATCTAAACTTCTCTCTGCAGTTCTCACTTGATCCTGATTCTGCATCAGGTAAGTGGTGGATTTGGATGCTTTTTTCCCCTTTTTACTCAGAATCCTTTTCTTCAACTGTTTCTGTCCCTTCACAGTAAAAGTGCTGGTTTTCGCAGTGACACGTACATATTCACCTTATTGTGTGTCACATCAGCATCCCACATCTAAGGGCTTATTTACATCCATATCCAAAAGGTAGAGTGAAATAAAAAGCCACCATGCATCCAGTTTTCAATGAAGTGCTGTCTGTCCAAGCTACCTTTTACATGTGGGTTCCATTCATACTACTTCTCAAGGTAGGAAACAGCAGCTTTAAAGCAATTTCCATAATTGGTGATGTCACAATAGCAGTGTGCAGGTGTGTCGTATGGGGTAAAGTGCAGCCCAACTGGACATTTCTTTCAGTTTTCTCTGCAGCTCCAGGCACTACATTTTTTTCTGGGGAAAATCAGTTAGGAATAGGCTATTTATTTGGGTTAATTTTCCTAAACCTGACCACTATCATTGAGAACTCAAAACCCCTTTTCACAATTTTCTTTAAGTTGGATTGGGAAGATCTGCAAATTCAACATAGCTGGAACTTTCTGGATTTTTAAGCAGAATTGATTGTGGCTTAGATGTTATTCATGTCTGCCACGTCTTAGGCATCATCCTAGACCTGTTGCATGATTCCCTCTACCCACTAACCACCAGCCAGACAACAGGCACCCAACAAATGAACCCCAGATCTGCCTCTCCAGGGTGGTTTTTCTGATGTAAACTTTCTCTTCTTTGTCTCCAGTGAAATCTTCAGTAAACTTCTATTCAAGGGAATATTTTGGAGGGATAGTTTATGATGTAAGGAGGGGACAATAGATATTTGGATTGCATAATTTTACTTACATTGGAAACCCTATCTAAACTCATACATTTTGGATAATTTTCTTATTTTTATTGGAAATATATTTTCCTAAGTCAATAAAAAATGAAATTGCATGTTATGTCCCAATTCATTAATTTGATGCTTAATGTTCTTTCAAATGTTTTTTTTTTCTGTTTTGTAGAAGGTGGTCTAGGTGCTTCATGACAGGGAAGGTCTGCATACAGCCTTGTGTCATACAGGAATGCTAAGAGAAGATTCTTCTGTCCCCACAATCTCTCCAAATAAATCCACATTTCTTGTGTTTTGGAATGGCTGTGATGAAGTGGCAACTTTTAAAAATACTGAAGATATTATTAGACAATGTCGTATTTTGTTATTTATTTATTTAAGAAAAAAAAAGACAGGAAAAACAAAAAGCAAAAGAGACAAGCAAACACCAACAAACTTAAAATAATAACAGTATAGATTTTCAAAACCTGATGATAGGAATTTAACAATGGCTGTAATATTGTTTCCTTCAGAAAGGTTGCTTAGGTTACCAGATACAGACATGCAAAATTGTTCTAATCACATGAGTATTAACTGTTCGTTTCCAAGGACTAATAGTGTTAGTGGTATAGTCATCTTAACTATCTTATGTATATAAATACACATTTTAGACATTGTTGCATTTTTATGATACGTTTTACCTTATTGCCAAGAATAGACTCAGAAGTGGTGCTCTGGACCAGAGGCAATGACATAAAGCCCGGGCTGCAACATGGCCTGTGACAGGGCACCCCTGGTGTGAGCAGTCTGTGAGAAACTGCAGGTAAGGGATGGGGGTGGGGTGCGTTGGTGTCAGGTTGTAATCAGGATGGCAAATCAATGATAATTTCCACAGTTCAAAGCTTTGCCTTTTCCATCTTGTCAAAATGAAAAACAAAGGACAAGAATGATTAAGCCCTGGTTTAAGTGCTAGTTATATCTTCGTTTTCATGGGAATATTTTTTTCTAAATTAATATACTATTATTCTTTCCAAATAAAGTAATTGTATTAACTACTCTCTATTATGAAAATTTTACATAAACATTAGACAATGATTCAAAAATCACTGGAGCTATTTTTCTACTTACTTAGAACCTGGATTTTAGAACTATATTTAGAACTTTTTTTTTTCAAATTTTGAGAAAGCAGTCCAATTGGATCCTGATTCTGGTGGGCAGAAATTGGGTAACTGGCTGTGTTGCAACTCCCTGAGAAACAGGAGGAAAAGGCAACCTGTGGAAGGTCAGCAGGGCCAGCTTTCTTGTAACAGCAGGAGGCAGGACTTGGAGGATAAATATTTGATTTACCCTCATGCCAGAGTTCTTTGATGACTGATTATATGTAGAGTTTAAACATTTGGACAACAGGATATTTAGAAATACCTGGAATTGTGAACTTTATTCCTCTCAGTATAGAATATGTATGCTGAATTATTTGGAGAATTTGATTTAAAAGGGAACAAGCTCTAGACTTCACTAACTGGAGTTTTCTCTCCATTCGTGGCATATCAGTTTATATTTTTGTCAAAAAAGAAAACTTTGGATTAAAAAAAAAACAAACAAGAAAGTACATACAGAATTAATGATAGGGTTTTTAGAAAAAAATATAGGAATTCTTATTTAAGTATACATAAATACAAGGACTTCTTTTTATTTTAAAGAAAAAACCAAAAAGGTAAAAATAATACATAATTTCAAAAAAATAAACAGTAAGAAATCACTAGTTGATAAACTACATATTGTCCGCTTAGAAATAGTTGTTCAAGTTACAAAAGCATACAAGGTGGACATTTAAAAAGCGAGACTGCAAACAGTTCTGTTCAACTATCCAACAAAAACTTTCATATCTGTCTTTTTTTTAGTACAAGGACTTCTTATTAATTAAGATGAATTTTAAACTAGTGCTAGTAATTAACAATTTTAATTTTGTAAAATGGAATAACCAAGCACAGAAGAGGGGAAAATAGATGAGCAACGAAGATGGAGTGCTTGGTTATTCCATTAATCTGCTTTTCATTAATAAGGGTACATACATGCAAAAACACGATAATCATACTATTAAGGAAAGGTACTTCAGGTGTTATCAGTTTCATATTTTGAAGCAGTGTGATCCTCATTACCAATAGGAAAATTAGTCCAAAGTTTCTATCCTGTCATGATGAATTTGATTGGTAGGTTGTTTGGCTTTTACCATGGTAAGACAATATAATATTGTAGAGTATTTTCATTTGTTAAATGCAATATATGTGTAAAAGTTTATGTTTGAGTGATCAAGGTCTGAATTTGTGATTTAATAATGGAAACACAGTAAAAGATAAGAATGGCAGGCTTGCTTATGCCTCGGAAGAACATCAGGGAAAGCTTTAGGGTTAGCCCCGGAGTTTAAATAAATAGCGCCCACCCTTTTTTAAGAAATGAAAAGAAAAATTTATAATTTATCCGAGAAAGAATTATCTTCTGTATTTAAAAATTAGAACAGTTTCTCTGTCTTTTTTCCACTGTAAGTTTTTTGGCTTTTTAAAAAATGGTTTTCTCCAGTGGAAATAATTCTCCAAGAAGTTCTTTTACTTCTGTTCACCTTTGGCTTGAAAGAGAAGCCCGTGTTCCCTCCCAGGACTCCTCTGAGGCATTAATACTCCATCTTCGTTGCTCATCTATTTTCCCCTCTTCTGTGCTTGGATATTCCATTAGCATCCCTTCCCAAAGATGAACAAGAATGAGAATAGGATGTGTGTTTACTTTCTTTCAATATGAGACTGAAAAAAAAAAAATATGAGATGGCCAGCAACAGCAACGCTTCTCTTAAGCTCCCAGCGCTCTCTGTGGCTGGAGAGGCCATGGGGAAATGCGACTCAGTTCTGACTGAGTTACGTAGGGAAGTGAAATTGACTGGCTTGCCACTGATGATTGTTAATTGATTATAATTATAATAATTAATTATAGTGTCAAAGAAAGTCAGTTTCTCCCTGGTTGATAGCAGTGATTCTTTGCTTGCAGAGCAGAGGCAGGGCTCTTCTGAGGCACAGATGAGTATCTTGGGAAGGTTCTGTTGAGGGAGGGATAGTTTTTTAAACATTTAAGATAATTTGCTTTGCTTTGCTTTGTTTTTATGCATAATGCTAAGTCTATTTTGCAACTTAAAGTAGAGTTGATGAAGAACCTGTGATTTTTTTAATTAAAGGAGAATGGAAAAAGTATAATATGAGAATGAAAAGAATCAGATTTTGGTGCAGGTCTAGAATAGAACAATATCTATTTGTTTCATTCAGAAGAATGAAAGGCATGTATGTGTGTCTAAATTTTTAATTAGCTGGATAAAAGTATACTTTCAATTAGTAATGTAATTTGGATCTCAGCTCTTTTAGTATGTCTTGTTTTCAAGCAAAGTCAGTGGTTTGGTTGAAGTCTTACAAATACCAAAAATTTAAATGTTCAAATGGAAAGAAGCAGATAAACAACACGACAAAACTAGTAAGTACAAATCATTTAAACTCTTATGTAAAATTTGATAGGACATTTTACATAAGTTTAATGAGTGGACAAAATCTTGCAGAGAAAGCAGTTCCAAATGGTAAACATACGCAAGGGATTTAGTCAAACAATTTTTGGGGCCAAAATATTGTGATTTTGTAATAACTTGGGAACCAATGAAATACCAGAGGAGTCTAGTTAATAATCTACAATTATCGGTTAAAGATGTATATTAGGCCCGATTCGCTGCCATCCCTCTACTTTCCTATCAACCCCACAAGCATTGGGCACAATGAAGTGGGTCACCTTTATCTCCCTCCTCTTCCTCTTCAGCTCTGTTTATTCCAGGGGTGTGTTTCGTCGAGAAGCACGTAAGAATTTAACTTTTCCATTGTTTAAGTTTATTTTCCTAGGAAAGAAAGTTTCAGTGAATCTTATGTCTTTAAAATTTTTTTTAGCATGTATTTCTAGAATATGATGATATTTTGTATAGTGAACAAAATAAAGTATATGGTTATTGTGTGAACTTACTTTAGAAGTTTTTGGTGAAGCAGTGGTGACAATTGTTTGGTGACTGTAATTTTCTTCAGCACAAAAAGGAACATGACTTAAATTTTAAAATAGAACTGAAGACAGAATTAATGTCTGTCTCAGAGGCTTATCTGCTGCACCCTGTTTTATGAGAAAAAAATGTGTGCCATTAATATTATATTTAGAACTTACTCTTGTGTACACTTTTATTTTGGAATGTCTTCTCTGTACCTGTACACTGATACCAAAAAAACATTGTCTTATCCAAGTTTTATAAGATATTTATTATGATAAAGCTATAATACTTATAAATATTTGATGATTGTTAAAACAGCGTTCTTGGCATCTGAATAGTTCTTTAGGTGTAAAATATACAGTTAATCATCATCCTAAGATTCTGTGTAGGGATCATAGTGTAATACTTTGAAGCAAAGAAATAAGTTCAAAGGAAAGAAGTGTAAAAATTAGCATCATAAATGTTTTTCTCAGTAATTAAACACATGTTTTTTTTCTTCCTTCCCTCAGACAAGAGTGAGATTGCTCATCGATTTAACGATTTGGGAGAGGGACATTTCAAAGGCCTGTAAGTTAATGAACCAACGTTAATGGTCCTGACAGCATTGGTTACTACTCTGAAGTCCTCATACTCTAGATTCTTTTTTTTGATACTGGGGCTAGAACTCATGAGTTTGCACTTGGCAGGCAGGTGCTTGTACCACTGAGCTAAATTCCCAGCCCTATATTCTAGATTCTAGCACAGTGCGGTCCAACAGAATTTTCTTCATTGATGGAAATATTCTATATCAGTCTGCTCAGTATGGTAGTTATGGGCCATATGTGGCTATTACTTTATGGCTACTGAGGAACAAAACTTCAAATTGTGTTTAATTTTAATTAATTTAAATTTATAAAGTCACATGTGGTTACTATTACGGGACATTGAAACCATGAGACTCTTACAGAGCTGTGGGAAGTACTGTGATACATATTCCTTTCAGCCTCTTACTTACAAGGGAATCCCTTTTCCTAGCAAGTATTCCTGTGGTTTCTTGGAAACATTTTAATGATTTTTTTAAATTTAGAGATTCTAATATTTTTTAATCTAGTAAAAATGCTTATTTTTAAAAGATCAGTATCATCGTACAGCCCAATTAAATGAGATGTGTGTGCTTTGTGTGTTTTTAAAAAATAACTCAAAGAACTTACGTAATGGCTTATCTTAACTATGTAGTATATATCTACTGTCTCCCCTAAACATGTGTATCTACTGATATGCACACTTCAGGTAGATATGGTGGAAATACAGATGCTCTTTGCTGAAGAAGTTACATAGACTTGGTTAGGCCTCACCTAATACCTGATGTGAAGAAGTTTTCTAGAAAACTGTAAAAGAGACAAGTTAAAATATAGACCATATACACTGTTTGCTGTCTAGCACAGGAGCTGTTTTGTGCTAAAGTTTTGTTGGGTTACGTGTTGCTATGTCTTCTTTCAGGGTATTGATTACCTTATCTCAGCATCTCCAGAAGAGCCCCTTTGAAGAACATGTAAAGTTAGTCAACGAAGTGACTGATTTTGCGAAAGCATGCGTTGCTGATGAGTCAGCTCAAAATTGTGGCAAAGCAATTGTATGTACATTATAATTTCACGTATTCTTTATTCTCCTCTAAGTAACTCTTGAATGTTTCAAAGGAAATTTTTTAAAAGTATTATTAATTTGTAAGCTACACTCAAAAATTGTTTATGAACTGAAAAGCTATTATTTCTATTGGGACAGAGATGTCCTAGTTTTGCCCCCAATTTTAGAAACAATTCATTGTGGTTACACACCATAGTTGCAGTTTATTTAAATGACCATATGTCATTGTTATAACCTTGTTTCAAAATCTGAAGTTGACTTTCTTTCATATAGGTTAACAGTGAAAGCATTTTAATGTACTTATTAACTTTGTTTTATTGTGGTAAGAAAATGACATGAAATCTACCATCTTCAATGTGTTGATACATCAGCTCTTTAACCTTTATCTGGCTTAATTGAAATTTTATAGCAGTTGGTGATTAACTTCCGTATGTCACTCTTCCTATGCTCCTATCTCTATCATTTTATTCTTTGATTGTCAGAATTTGATTATGCATGGAATCATGCTCTGGGCACTGTTCTCACAGACGTTCCACACTGCCACCAGTTGCAGACTTCCCTGAGAGGCCAAGTGGTATCCCTTGTATGTACACTATGTGTATTCTTTGTTAATTCATCTGCCAATGGGCATTTAGGTTGTTGCCATGTTTTGACAATTGCGAATTGTGCTGCAGTGAACACAGGAGTGCTAATATCTCTGAGACAGTAGCATGATTTTCAGTTTAGAAAGCACGAAGTACTATCTCTGCTAATTTTATTAGCTGGGTGAAATAGTTACGCAGCTATTTTGTCTCACTGTAGGAGTATTAATATTTTGCATACACTAAAAAGCAGGGTACTCTATCATTTTTGAAGAATTTAAAAGTTTTTTATTTTCAGATAAGTTTTCAAGACAAAAGGCCTGCATTCCTCCCACTGCTTGGTTTATAAATGTCTTGGAGCCAGGGTGCTGTGTTACTTAGCCCTGGAATCTTGCTCTTCTCATTTTCTTTTGATGTTTTTGTTTCTCATTGTAGAATCAAGCATTTTAACTCTACAATATTATGGTTCTATTGGTAATTTTTTTAAAAAAAACCTCATTTTAAAAATTAATAAAGTAGGGTTTGTTTAATGAGTATTTTAAAATAAATATTTCTAGAATAAAAAAAATCTCTATTTCAGTAACAATATATGGTGGATTGTATTACTCTTCACTTTTAATGATATCTATAAAAATGTTGGACCTCTCAGAAAGGAAGAGAACAAAGGAGATGGTCTCTGAATACTGCCCCCCCCAGCACCTCAGTTACACCTAAGGCTAAATATCGGTCTCCCAGACTCTAGTGCCATGATCCTTAAAGTCATTAACTATCATTTGCCCTTCTTTTTGATTTTTTGTAAGCGATACTGTGGCAGTTAATTGTTAGGAAATTACACAGAGATAGTCAAATCGAAGGAAGCTAAACCTACAGTAGGGAGAGAGATTTTTGTAAGAGTTCCTTTTTCTGTATTTTAATATTTTTCATTTCATTAATTTTTGTGCATTAACATTATTTTTTAACTGGTGCATACAAGAATTATAATTATTGAGTGCCATGTGATTTTTCCATACCTGTGTACATTATATGCTTCAATGTGCTTGATGTCCTAGCACACTCCATCTGAATGTTAAATATTTTATATTGTTCTTTAACTATAGGAAAACAAAGCACCACCCACTAATTTGCAGGCTTCTCTCTCCCCTCCAGGCTACTCTATTTGGAGATAAAGTGTGTGCCATTCCATCTTTGCGTGAGACCTATGGAGAGCTAGCTGACTGCTGCGCCAAAGAGGATCCCGACAGGGTTGAGTGCTTCCTGCAGCACAAAGATGACAACCCCAACCTGCCTCCATTTGAGAGGCCAGAGCCCGAGGCTTTGTGCACTGCCTTCAAGGAAAACAATGACCGTTTCATTGGACAGTAAGTGATCCAATATCTGTATGTCAAAATTAAAAATTAAGGAGTAATAAATAGGTAAATACTCATTATCACAATTGCATATTAAACACTGAGTTGGGAGCTTTGTTTTTCTACTGGGTTTTGAAGAGGCAATATTGGATACCACAAAATTGTGTGCAACAAAAAGTATGAGCGGAACATGATCTATATGAAAAGTTTGATATTAATATGTTTTAAAATAGTCTAAAAAATATGCAGTGTGTGGATGTTCACAGGACTGATTTCATTTTTGATGGAGGCATTAGATCACCAGTATTTATCAATTATGCTATATGAGCACATGTACACACACATACACACACACACACATGCATACATACACACCACACCGTTTTCTTCTTCATTGTCTTAAGGAATGACAAAGACAAGGCCACTAGGTGCTAACAGAGTCTAACAGTAAATTACGTATTTGAGTTTGCGTGTGAATGCTGATTACCATTATTCCTCTCTTACTGTGTGCTGTGGGAAAATGACTGCTTGTTTTTTTTTTTTTTTAATTTAGTTATTTATATGAAGTTTCCAGAAGACATCCTTACTTTTATGCCCCAGAACTCCTGTATTATGCTGAAAAATACAAGAATGCTTTGACAGAATGCTGCGAAGCTGCTGATAAAGCTGCCTGCCTGACCCCAAAGGTATCTCCAAAACAGAATGGAAAAACCCACTCATTAAGCAGATTTAGACTTTGACTATCTTAGGGTTACATTTAGGAACCCTAAAATTTTGATATAATTCCTTACATGACCAAAAACGCCTTCCATATGCATGTCCTCAAAAGACTTATAATTCTTTCTGAAAGCTTGTCTCCTTGCTCCTTGTATTGGCCTGACAGGAATCACTGTGTCTGACGGCCACTTCTCTCTTTGTGGTAACTGCTGTAGTGACATATGTTTGTCTAATTAGACAGCATGAGTCACAGAATTTGCTTATCTTTTCATAAGATACACACACACACACATCCTTGGCCTTGAGCTCACTCTGTAGCCCAGGCTGGTCTTGGATGCACAGTAATCCTCCTGCCTCAGCCTTCCAAGTAGGGAGATTACAGGTGTGGGCCATCACACCTGGCTTTATAAGGTTTTTATATTGCGGAGAAAATTCCAAACTGATAATTTCACTGTAGTTAAAAACCAGAGTTCAATGTCTTTCTTTCATACATATTTTATTATGTGCTTCATCCTCTTTTCTAAGGAGTTTTACTGATGCTATAGAATTAAATGAGGGCTGAAAATAAACTATGGGCAAAATAACTAAGTTAGCAAATACATCTCCAGAGATATAATCACGCACTGATTTCAGATCCTTTTCCTTGGCAGTGTCCTTCCTACTTTTTAACTGCCTGGTGCCTCCACTATGACCAGACTTTTTCCTTTTGTTATTTAGCAAAATAATTTGATAAAGGGAATACTTGGAAATTTAGGTATAAATTTAATCTAGACTTACAAATGCAACTTGACAGTGTCTTGTCTGAGTTTGTGACGGAATCTTTAGTGCAGTTTTTATCTGTTTTAATTTTTTCATACTGATTTGTTTCTGCAGTTGGATGCCATCAAAGAAAAAGCACTGGTTTCCTCTGCTCAACAGAGACTCAAGTGTGCCAGTCTCCAAAAATTTGGGGAAAGAGCTTTCAAAGCATGGTAAATATTTTTGAATACAGTTTGCATCTCTGTAATGATGTAGATGATAATGGTTCAGCATTTACACAGTGTGTTCAAACAAATATTTTTTCCTAAAACATAGAAAGGTGATAGAATTAAAAAGCAGAACATCAATAACAATTTGACATTAGTTTTCACCTCATTTTTGTTTAACAGTTGAAGAATTTAGAAGTTTATAGTGATTACCCCCAAACAGAAAGATATTTAAATTCTACACTGTTTATAAAGTTGAGAATCTAATTTAATAGGTCATCATTCTTGTAGAGCTGTAATCATAATTTTTATTTTTACACACAGCAACCTGGAAGTATGCTTGCCATGTTATGCTCTAACAATTAAATTTAGCCATAAACGAAGTCAAAGTTACTCCTCTTTATTTTCTCTTCACTCCAAATCTGCCCTTAGTCTGATGTTTTTGTTGGGGATGCTGTTTCCACACTGTTTAGTTGACCATTCTTCAGTATCTGAGCCAAGAAGAATACAACCAGTCCTTCCAACTCCTCTTCCATTAGCCAACAATCAATTTTTATAGCAGGAGAAAGAAAATAATAGATATTATGCATGCTTTCAAGGAATTTCCCGCTGAACTATCTTTTCCCATCAAACCACTCTAAACAACTAAATTGATAAAATAAAAAACCTCCACATGAAACATTACAGTTACACAGTTATGGCCAGTTTGGGGAAAGAAGTCTCCTTATTCTAATTTCTAAAATGATTTTGGAGAAAACAAGGATATTAGACCTTTACATTTTATAATAGTGAGAGGCTGTGCTGGACCAATTTCTTGGTGAACATGTGCTTATTAAGTAGACTCTAATTCTATAGAAGCTATGAAGTTTCTTTTTGCAGAGATCTTTAAAAGTTAGAAAGAATATGTTTGAGTTAAGAAAAAAATTAATGAGTCTATGCGATACTTTCTAGTTATAAAATACTTTCATCGGAATTATCTAGGAATCCTCAAAGTCATTCTTCAGCTCTTGAAATCTAATGAAATTTTTTCCTCCCCAAGATAAATCACAATGGGCAAGCCAAAAAAAAATATTTGAAGATAGTGCAATTAAATTACCTTTTCTGGCAGCATGATTTTTGCATCTTTAAAATGATAGTTCTTTAGCACACTGCAAAGGTTAAAGCCCAGAGAGGCTAAGTAACATTTGCAGGGTCACACTACCAAGAAGTGAGGAAGCCAGACCAGAAGTCAGATGTGGGCTGCAAACCTGATTGTGTTGTCTTTTTCAGAGTTCCTCTTTGATTTCTGATTTTATGAATCACCAGGTTCCTATCTACCACATATACAAGGGATAATTCTGCCTATGGAAAAAGATAACTCAGATCTAGCTTTAAAACAACTAATGAATTTTAAAATTTCTTTCTGTATCTAAATCTGTATTTAATTTCCTTGTTATAAATAGTATTCTCCTAGTACTTTGACATAAGGTATGCAAAAAAAGTTTTGACTGGGGGAAATTATTTTATTTTTTAGGTCAGTAGCTCGTCTGAGTCAGAAATTTCCCAAAGCTGAGTTTGCAGAAATTTCCACCATAGTAACATCTCTCACCAAAGTCACGAAGGAGTGCTGCCATGGAGACCTGCTGGAATGTGCAGATGACAGGGTAAAGATTCATTTATTTTTGGTAGCTTGCATGCTTGAGTGGGTTGAAGCAAATGTTTGGTGGTCAGGGACAGTGACTGCTATGGTCATCTATGTTCTCATTTGTTCTGTATCCAAGTTTTCTCTTCTTGGGGGTCTTTGTTTCTTTATTTCTTGTTTTTTTTTTAATTTTTAAAAAATCCTTTCAAAAACCTAATCACTGAATGACCTGAAAAATTCATTCACTAATTTGTAATCACTTCTTGTAACTTTAGGAATAAAAGCCTAATCTGAAGCAGGACAGCTACACATATAGATTTTTAAAGGTATTTTGGGGATATAGGTAGGGTTGGAGAGGGGTCAGTCATTACCTGAAGAAGACTTTAGAAAGACGTATTTTCCGCCTTCTGTTTTCTTTCTGTGTGTTAAATGTTTAACATGATCTCCCTTTCCCAAAACTTGTAATAGCCTCCCTTTCTGCAAAATTAAAAAGAGGGGGCTGGGGATTTAGCTCAGCGGTATAAGCACCTGCCTTGCAAGCAGGCGGTCGTGAGTTTGATCCCCAGTACCGATTAAAAAAAAAATTAAAAAGAGATGGAATAGAGTGAAAAGGAAAAGAGCCTCCAAGAGAAATTAAGGCATTTAATGTACACGTACTAATGCCATATGAGAGATGTAAACATTAGTAATGCAAACATGCAGACATAAATAAAATGTATGACCAAATAATAGAATCCTAGTTTAATATGACACTTCCTGGAAAATTGAAGGCAGATATTTTAGATATTTTAAACAAGGCTTCTGACTGTGATGTTGACTCATTTTTCAAAAATCTTTTATATTTTATTTAGTTACTTCATTTCAAAATGCCTGAACTTAATTTAGAGGGGAACCATTGGAAAAGTGGCACTGAGTTTAAATTTAAAAAGGGTAAATGCCTCAACAGTAGAAGCATAAAATTAATAAATTCATTAAAATAAATAAGTTAGCATAATAAGTTGTTTCTGGTTAGTCTTTTTATTAAATGGAAAGTTTTAGTCAGTCACTGTTTCTGAATCCTCACACTTAGGAGCTCCGACTGAGAATTTGTTCATGGATGCATCACGGTTGCATCTGTCTTTGAATACAGTGACTGTTTTTCTAACTAAACAGCAATTTAGTTTAGTTAGAAAAGAAAGTGCAGCAATATCAATTTATGTTGAACAATTTTCAACTTGCTTTCAGCAAGAACTGGCCAAATACATGTGTGAACATCAAGACAGCATCTCCAGTAAACTGAAGGAGTGCTGTGTAAAGCCCACGCTGCAGAAAGCCCACTGCATCCTGGAGATCCAAAGAGACGAGCTGCCTACTGAGTTGCCTGACTTAGCTGTCGACTTCGTTGAAGATAAAGAGGTTTGCAAAAACTTTGCTGAAGCAAAAGATGTCTTCCTGGGCACGTGAGTAGATAAATTACCTTTTCATCGCCTCCAAATGGCTTCACGATCTAGAATGTATGGCGGACTTTCCTCTGGAGTTAATACAGTTTTCAAGTTGCACATCCTTCTTCATCCTTCCCTCTTCCAATCTTTAAAGTTAGTTTGAAAAAAATAAGTGGAAACACTGTCATGATTTAGCACTTCCATCCGTATGGACAAAGCTCAATATTCCCTACTCCTGGGGATACTTTTGGAAATGTCTCTAGGAAATGGTCTCTGTGTATATAAATTGTGTAACTAAAAAATTTTGTATATATGTAATCTTTTATGTAATAATTCCTTCATCTAAAGATATTTCTTAAACATCTAAACTAGGTGTGAATATATATTGCCTAGCAACTATTTATATACATCCATATATCATCTATTTATCATCTACCTATCAATATCAATGCATCTATATGATGGCTGCAAATACATATAAAAAGTATGGAGTCTTTACATTTGATTGCAAAGACAAGAAGTTTGGCTTGTAATTAAATGGCAAATTATTATATGTTTCCAGTAACTGTAATGATTAACTTTACATTTCATTGTTGGATCATGATATTATCCCATTCACTAAATATTATTTAGTAAAATTAAGTATCCTAAATGATTTCACTATATGGAGAGGAAAAAGAAAAAGTTAACAGATATCTCTACATCTATTGGAAACTTTTTGAGATGTAGTCCAAATCAAACTAACTATATGTATAAGTGGCAGGTACAATTTAATGTGCACCAAGCTGTGTGTGTTTTGCATAAAATATGCTATGTATTTCTCACAGCCCACATTGTGAGACAGATACTGTTATTATCCTCATTCTACAGAAGAGGAAACTTAGGTCATGATAGTTCTAGTCAGCTGCCTAAAATAATATGTAAGATAAATGGCAGGTCCAGAAATTAAGTGGAGGAAGCTTTTACTCTAGACCCACATCCTTCATCACCAAGTGTTACCACGTAGGGTTTAGTTCCATCCAGACCTTTGGAACAGGAGTTACTCTTTGAGTTAATTATGTGACTTTTCAGGTTCTTTGTCTGACTAAATCTGTGTTCATTTTAATTAGGTTTTTATATGAATATTCAAGAAGGCACCCTGAATACTCTATTGGCATGCTGCTGAGAATCGCCAAGGGCTACGAAGCCAAGTTGGAGAAGTGCTGTGCTGAAGCTGATCCTCATGCGTGCTATGCAAAAGTGGTAGGTCTCTGCAGGAAAAGAAAATGCAGTTTTTCAACTGATAACTCTAATACTCAGAAAGAAAAAAATTAATGTAACTGTGTGAAATAATACATAGTTAAATTTGAATATTTTCTTGAGATGGATTGGATTCTGCATTCTTAAACTTCATACGAAAAATAACCTTACGTAGAATGGTTAATAAATCCTAGAATAGTCGATCTAGAAAAAGAATCCAATGGAAAAGACAATCTTTAACAAAATCTTGACCATAGTTTTTTCTTTTGATACTCCTGTGAACAAAATAAAATAAATTTAAATGACAATTAAGAGAGGTTTAACTTGGATATCAAGAAAATTAACCTGATCCCAAAATTTACTCAATACTAGAAATATCTTAAAGAAAATTTTGAAATCTGTATATATAATTGAAGTACACAATAGTGATGGTTATCTGGAGAACTGATACATGCATTTAACATATCTTGATCATTTTCAATTCCTTTTTTCTCTCTTCTCAATCTTTTCCATTTTCAAGAATCTGTTATCTAGTTTGCATTATCTTTCTTTTACTTCATTTACTTATTTATATTTAGGTTTCTCCTTAATAAGAAAACACACCTTATTTAATGTTCTGAGTCTAGCTTATTTCAGTTGGTATGATGGTCTCAAGTTCTATTCATTATCCTGAATATGACAGGATGGCTTTATGGCTGAATACTATGACATTGTATATATACACCACATTTTCTTTGTCCGTTCGTCTCTGGAAAATCCTCTTGTCTGTGTCCAGAGCTTAAATGTCATGAATTGCATTGCTATATATAAACATGGGTATGCATATATCACTGTAAAATGGTGCCTTTTCTTTTGGGACTATACCCAAGAGAGATATATCTGAATCAAATTGTATTTGTACAAAGTCCACCAAAAAAGGTATGCATCAGAAAAGAAAAACTCATTTCAATATATACTGCTAAATTTATTGAGATATAATGAGATTAATGCAAGTTAACATAGGTCTCTACAATGATAAGAGGAGCTCACAGTGGTGGTCATTAGCTTCCTAACATCTATTAGTACAGTGAATTCCTGATGTGTGTATACATTTTTTGACAGACCCTATAGTTTTGGTTTATTGAAGACTCTCCATAGGATTTCCACAGTGGTTGTATTAGTTTTCATGCCATAGGAGAATTCCCTTTACCCTACATCTTTGCCAGCGCTGTTTTTTGAAACACAGTTCTTTTATCTTCCAGTTTGATGAGCTTCAGCCTCTTATAGATGAGCCTAAGAAATTAGTCCAACAGAACTGTGAACTTTTTGATAAGCTGGGAGAGTATGGATTCCAAAATGCGTAAGTGGTTTTTTTTTTCTTTAGTAGAAATTCTCTAGATTTATTGGCAATTATTTCAGACAATGTGTAGGTCATCTGGCATATGACTTTTAATAATGAAAATGCATTATGTATGTTTAATCCCTCCTTATCAAGAAAGTATGGAGAGGCAACATAAAACATTTGGTGAGATGAGAGGCCTGTATCTGTTTACAGTCTAAAAAACTGGTCTTCAGATTGGGAGTGTAAAGGCTGGAAGGGTAATACCAAGTCTTCATGTAGTACAACAGGGGGCCTCCCTGGAAGGGTAAGGAATGGTTTATGATGTTTTAAATGTTACTTATTTATTTATTTTTAGACAAGATCTTTCTCTGTAGTATAGGCTGGCTTTGAACTCACTCTGTAGCCCGGGCTGGCCTTGAACTTGTGGCAGTCTTCTTGCCTCAGCCTCCTGAGTGCTGGCATTACAGGTGTGAACCACTGTGGCCTGCTAAGGGATAGCTTCTGAGCAAATAAATCATAGTTGTATTTTACAGAGCAGAAAGCAGTAGGCCTTAGATAACTGTAGATCAAGAAGTAATATAACAGCTGAACACAAAAATATAATAAAACATATTTAGATATATATGTGAATATTACCTTTATGATGCTCCATTTTGGAAAACACCAGATAGTTATAATTCTCCATTTATAATGCTCTATTTTGGAAAACAACAGATATTTAGCATTCTTCATGTATGTTAGTAATAACAGTGAACAAGACATAATTTCTCCCCTTGAGTAGATTACAGTCATATGTTGGTTTCAAGTAATGATTGGCATTCTTTATTGATTATTATTACATGCTATATAATATGCTAATTATACTGCACATACTACTTCTTGTAGTTTAGTCTTTATCTTATCTTTATTGAGGCAGGTATATTCCCTTTTGTTTTTTCCCATATCTTTCAAATTTATCACAATACTGATACAGATCTCTATAGAATTTATTGTGAGAAATTCTCTATAGAATTCTCTATAGAATTTATTGTGAGAAAGAAGCATAATAAGTATATTAATGCCACTGAATTGATATAAAGTAACTTTGTATTCAAAACCATCTTTAACTAGTTGCTTAGAACAGGACCCACCTCCAATGTTACACTACTGTTCTGGGGATGAAGACAACATGGTGAATGGAAAAAAACACTGGAATTGACTATGGTCAAATTTTCTCTGCTTGATCTACTGGAAAAGAACAGTTTAGTTCCTAGCTGTAAACAGAAGCACTCTTTTCTTTTAAAGCCTCGCGGTCCGTTACACCCAGAAAGCACCTCAGGTGTCAACTCCAACTCTTGTGGAGTACGCAAGAAAATTAGGCAGCGTGGGAACAAAGTGCTGCAGCCTCCCTGAGACAGAGAGGCTGTCCTGTACGGAAAATTATGTGAGTCTTTTAAAAATTAACAATGATGAGTTTTAAAATGCAGTGACAAAGCTAACTTTCAGAGCTAGGGTGTGTGTGTGTATGTATAGCAGTGCTAACCAGAAATTGTTTCTTGTATTATTCTATTAAAATTAGGCCTTACGTAAGATCTCAAAGATGATATTTTGTTTCTAAAAATCCATGAATTTTTAGTGTTCTATCCTGGCATTTTCTCCATTTTCACTTTCCTTAGAGTTTCTGTTTAATGTGTTATTTTGACCATTTTTTCACCATTGCAAAACATTTCAAGGATGTATCATCTTGAATTATTTTCATCAATCAGTTTTTTTTGGGTACTGGGGATTGACCCAGTACCATGGGGATTGACTCATGACCTTGTGCCTTCCAGGCAGATGCTGATACTGCTGCTGAGCTAAATCCCCTGCCAAGTAGGTTATTCTTAGACAGAGATATACTTAATTAAAAGAAGAGGAATTTGTATAAAGTGTCTTTACATTTAGTGCCAAAGCTAAATCACTGTCTCCACCAACTTTGTGGTCAGTGTTGCTCGTTGCATGTGGCACTTCTTTTGGTGCACTAAAGGAGGGATCCATGGATCTCTGCCTTTGCTGATATCCAATTTCTGCTCTCTTCCCTGGTCCTCAGCTGGCCCTGATCCTGAATCGGCTGTGCATACTGCACGAAAAGACGCCAGTGAGTGAAAGAGTCACCAAGTGCTGCACTGAGTCCTTGGTGAACCGAAGACCATGCTTCTCTGCACTGCACGTCGATGAAACATACGTGCCCAAACCATTTCATGCTGACTCCTTCACCTTCCACGCAGACATATGCACGCTTCCAGAGAAGGAGAAACAAGTCAAGAAGCAAATGTGAGGAATGTTATGTCACTCCCTGTGGCTGTAGTCTCCATAGTGAGCTACATCAACTGAAATAGGAAACTTTTAGGAAGTATTGACTACATTAAATTATTTAACTATTGAGTTTATAAAACTTATAAAAGTTTTAAGATTAAATTAGTTTTTTTCTTAGCAAAAAAAAAAAGGTCACAATCTTATCCACAAATTATCAGAATAGCATTGTTCCAAAATCCACAGTAGAATGAGATCCTGGGCCACATCCAATAGAAAAAATAAAAAATTAACTATCAATTTATGAAGGATAGCAAATTAATTGTAGAAATTCTAGGCAAGAATAGCTACTTTAAGTTCACTCTGTGGTGACCGCATAAGTGAGACCAACCTCTGAAATGTGACTTTTGAGAGTGAAACTTGGATAAAACCATTTAGAAATGCAAAGTTTGAGACTTGCTTCTCTTCTGCTGTCACAGGGGGTTATAATAGCGTGAACTTTAGCAACGGAAGATTGCCATTATTTCTGGTGGCTTGCAGTCATGGTCCAGACTCTAACGTGACAGCACTGCAAAGCCTGTCATGTCTCTACAGCTCTTGCCGTCTCCCCCTTGGCACGTCCGGTTTATAGATGCGATGAATGAGACGTGCCCACTCCCACTTGTCTATCTGGTCATGTTTCTTGCTGCAGTTCACTATTAACTTTGAATGAGGCAAATTTCAAAGAGCGAAAGGGAAGATTCTTGATTAAAAAGCTCTATAAATAAAGCCAAGATAATCAAACTTTTAAAAAAATCATTTAAAATTCTTAAGTATACAATTTAATAAGACTTCACTTCTAAAATCTATAAGAATTCACTTCTAAAATAATGTCTAAATGCAGCCACAATCTTTTCCATCGATTACGACTACATAAAACACTGAGTGACTGCAACTGATTACCGTATTCGATCCGCACATTGGCTGAAGTAAATGCATTTCATTATTCTCACCCACACATAGGAATATTAAGGTGTGTGGTACTAGGGCGTAGTCAGAGTTGCTTGGCTCCAAGGACTTAACCCTAAATGATATCATACAGTATTTGCTGCCTCCTTTTTTCTTTATCGAAATAAACTTTACTTGTTGTTTCTTTCTTTTCGTTCAAATACAGGGCACTTGTTGAGCTGGTGAAACACAAGCCCAAGGCATCAGAGGAGCAAATGAAAACGGTTATGGGAGATTTCGCAGCTTTCTTAAAAAAGTGCTGCGACGCTGACAACAAGGAGGCCTGCTTTACAGAAGATGTACTGAATTTTGTTCATTTCTATGTGTCTAAATTTCTGCATTAGTACTTTTGGTCAGAGTTGGGCTAGAGACTTGTATATTAAAGGACCTCTGGACCAGTAATCTTATTTTACATACAGTTTTCTTTTAGAAGGACTTAAGTAGTTCTTAGTTTTTGTATCCTGCATCACTGTGAAAAAGTATTAAATATTTATTATGCCTTTCCATTTTCAAATTTATGATGTTTATGGATATAGATAAAAATATTTGTAAAGCTCGAAGTCTTTTGAGCAGTAGAGCAATTTTAAAAATATTTTCCTGAAAAGTATTAGTTGTACTTCAGTTGATATTTACAGGTTTAGTGGGGGGATATTTACATTTAGATATTCAAATCATTTGATTTTCCTCCTGTGACCTGAAATAATTTTTAAAAATTCTTTTGGGGTCAGCCGATGCCGTTGAGCTTCCTTCTAGAGATTCTGGAAGTAAATTGAAAATAAAGGGTAGGATAGATGTGAGATTACTTTGTAAGCGCCAGTAACTATTTAAATGCTATCTTTATTCCAATAATAATGCTAATATTTTTCTAACATCTGTCATTTCTTTGCATTCAGGGTCCAAAACTTGTTGCTAAGTGTCAAGCTACCTTAGCCTGAAACCGTCATAAACACAAATATCTCAGGTAACTATACTTTAGATTTTAGATAGTACTTATAATTGTTATTATTATAATAGCAAATAGTGATCATTTGCCAAAAGCCAAACTATCCAGCACCAGCCACCATTCTTGCTTTGACACATATATATTAACCTACTTAATTTTCAAATTAGTGGCTGAATTGAGTATTGATGGGACCTGTGAGGCAGAAAGTATGTTCCCTGTACTTGTCTGAAAGGGGGAATCCAGATAAATTGTTTTCAGTGGTAAAAATTGCCAAAAGACAATATAAGCAATTAGCATACATGTTAATAGATTTAAAAATACATGACACTTTCCAAACAGCATTTATATTTCTCCTTTTGTTTTGCAGCCTACCCTGAGAAAAAGAGCGATGAAGAGTTGAAACTTACTCATCTGTTTTTCTTTTCTGTTGGTATAAAACCAACCCTCTGTCCAAGGAACACAAATTTCTTTACCACTTGATCTCTTTTCTCTGTATTGCAATTAATAAAAATTAAAAGAATTTAGTGTGGTGGTCCAGGACTATTATTTGCCAAAGGTGTGTTGCCACCCTGAAAATTTTGTAGATTCTATGAAAATTTCAATTTTCACTTTTGTTTCATTTCAGTAAAGTACTTTTAGTTACTTATGGGTTAATGCAAATAAACATAAGTTTTCTGAGTTATGCATTATAAACATTTAATACAACATTTTAGCATTATAATAATTCTGAATGAAAGAATGAGAATCTACATAAAGATAATGCATATGAGGCATGGATCTTCTGTACTGGTGGGACTCTATAATAAATAAGGGCAAAATAAATAGAGATGACTTTATAGGTGGTTAACTGAATTGGAAATGATAGTGATTCTAGGAGAAATGTAAGGTGCCTTAGGTTGACTACACATGAAAAGTGCAAGAGATTGGGGAAGGCATTCTTAGAGGAGGAGTCAAAGGGGTCTGCATGAATGAATCAGGAAAGACCAAGGCATACTGAGTTGAAGAGTGACAGTCAGAGGTAAATGTTTCTTGTAAAAGAATGCACCCAATGTGTGCCCATTTACCCTGTTCCCAGAGGTAACTCTTCATGTCATGGACAGATACATATGTATTGTATACTTTAAGCTATAATTCAAGGCTACAAATTTATAGACTTCCCAGAGCTTTGTCTATGAAATTATTTAGTCGCTAGTTTATTTTTTATTTGTTTTGACTTGGATTTGTACTGTATGTACTACTCCATAATTTGTCAGTAGTAATAATGCTTTATAATTTTTGTTTTTAGCATGATACTTGCAAAAACTATGGTACCCAGCTTAAAAAAGCTCCTTCCCATTCCTTTTGTATTCCACACTCAGACCATCAACTCCTCAGGTCCTCTCAATCCTTGCTTTGGCCTTGCTTCAGACAGATCAAATATTTGATCATGTTTGTTGCAATCTTTCCAAAAGCAGAAGTGAGATCACAGGGGAAGAGGGAATATTGGGGTCCCTGGCTGGTTGAAGAGGCAGATACAGGCAATTCTGACTAAGGCACTGCCACGGGACTGGATTGATATGGGACCAAATCTATGTGTCTTTTCTGGATGGCACTGCCATCACAGTCAGTCCAGGCAGTGAGAGGGACTATGAGCTTTTGGAAAAAGATGCTCCAAGGTGTCATGTTCTCTGAGCCTAGCTTTCCCTGATTCCTATGGAGCCGACCAAGTCCTCAGATAAGCTCTAAGTAACTCTTGTAACACCAATACGACTTTTCACTGGGAATAGTACACTGATCATGTGGTTAAGGTAGTAGTATTTGCCAGGTTTCTACACTGCGAAGCTCTTATTTCTCTCCTCTATAATCCATAGCTTGGTGACAAGTAACAAAATACAGCTCACATGTGAAATGAGAGATGGAGGAGGATTAAGCTCATAGAAGGGAGCTTAATATTTCTATTTAGAGTTCTGTAAGAAAGATTTGCTACTTATGCAATTATTCATATCATTATGGACAGATACATATGTATTGTATACTTTAAGCTATAATTCAAGGCTACACTACATATTCCAGCTGAATTATTCCAGCTCTGACTAATGGCTCCCGTATTGCTGGATATGACCCTGTACTAGTTGGCTTTTTTGGGGGACCAAGTGCTTGACCCCCAGGGCTTAAAAGAGGATAGGTTTTATTTGGCTTAGGGCTGCAACCCGTGGTAAACTCCAAGGCAGGGACACGGCAGGAGGACATGGCAGAGCCATCTGCCTTATGAAAGCAGGACGCAGAATGGGGAGCGTCAGCTAAGAGGAAGGAGCCAGTACAGACACAGACCCACGTGATGCCTCCTCGGACCCTCCAGACACAGCCAAAAATTTTTTTCTAACCTGCTAGGTATGTCTTAATCCAGCCAGATTGACAATTATGATGATTGGTTATCTGCCTGGACTTGGAGTTTTGACTACTCTTTGCTTCTTGGCATTATAAGAAATTGCATGTTCATGTTGTAATTTTCATTGCCTAGCCCTTCAAATAGTCACTTATTCAAGGAGCCCTGGCTGTTTTCATCAGAGAACGGTATTAACAAAGATCTGAGTACCAGGGTGCTCATTGCTAGTGGCTTATCACTGCTTTTGGGTCTTTTCAGGAAAATAGTTGAGAAATGTAGATATGAACACTAACATCACCCCATGTGCATATCTAATGACTTCTGTGTGCTTGTATCTATCCGTTTCTATAGGCAAATATGAGTTCAGACTGAGGTCTCTGATTCTACTCCACAAACACAAGGTTCATTCTAGCCTCCCCACTCAGTACTTTGTAACTTCCCTCTTTGACAGTAAGAACTTATTTCCAACTATCTATAACCTCCATTTACTTATTTGTTCAACCCCATGATGATCAGGATCTTTTCTAGATCTCTGATCTCCCAAACAAGTGTATGGCAGAGGTTAAATAAAAAGAGACAAATTGTATGATTTGTAGGGCTCCATAAGGTCAAAACCCTTTAATTAAGCTTGAGACTTCGAGGGTAAAGACAAAGGATTCTCTGGGTCAGTCCACTTATTTTTTTATTTAGTTAAAGAGAAAAACAAAACAAGACAAAGCAAGACAGTAAAAGGCTACAAGTAATACAGAATTTCAAGAGAAAAAATATACAGTAAGAATTCACTAGTAAATACATTACATATTGTCATCTCAGAAACAGCTGTCCAGGTTACAAAATGAAAGCATACAAAGTGGACATGAATACAGTGAGATTGCAGTCAGTTCTGTTTAATGATCCAACAAAAACTCAGTAATATGGTTTTCTATCCTATACTCTTAAATACTCTTGCAGTTGTACCTTTTAGATCACTTTCTTTCCTCCCTATTTTATGCTAACAATCACACATTTTGGGTTCCACTACTCCCACAGTTCTTAAAACTTTTTATTTAAAGAGGAAAAGAAAAAAAAAATATAAAACAAGAAACAAGACAAAACAAAACATAACAACAACAACAAAAAAAAAACACCATAATGTGACAAAGCAAAACAGAATCAGGAGGATGGACACAGTATATAATGCTAAAAGAGATTACTAGGTGATCAACAATGGTTACCATTATGCCTCTTGTTATCCTACAAAAAGGTGCTTATATCAGCTGTATAAAAGAATTGAACAAAACAATACAGAATAAGACCAGTAAAACCCACATGCAGACCTTGCAGGACTTCCAAACAAGATAATAGTCAAACCATAATGGGCATCATAGAGTATCTGGTTGCCTTCAAAGTGGTTGCCTATACCCTCAAATTTGATACTATTAAATAAAACAGAATATAATAAAATCAGTCAGAACAAGATGTGGAGAACAATACAAGGGTTCAAATCATGTTAATAGGAAAACAAAAAAGTTACTATAATATATCCCGCTATTTTTAATTCAGTTTTCCCTTAATTAAAAGATACTAAGGAATAAATTGATTTTTAAAAAAAGAGTGGGGGGGGGAGATTGAGATAAAAAAAAAGAGCATATCAATAGCACAACACAGGTCAGAACTGAACAATTTAAGTATCATTGTGTTTTACCACCAGATACTCTGACATTACTAGTAGTTACCATAGTGTCTCTTTCCTTGAAATATTTGAGTCTAACTTCGTATAATATAGCATCAGACTTATCAAGACAGTGTGAAACCATTCAAGAGAATGAAAGTATTGCAGGGTATTTAGAACCTGAACTTTGGTTTCTATGTGATCTCTTTGCCTATAACAAATTTTGCTTATACTATTGCATACATTAAAATATAATAAGATACAACATCTTAAAACTAATGGAAACAGACAAACAACAACTTCATGGGGCTGCAAAACAGGATGATATTAAATCAGCACTAGCTATTACACTGTCTTATTTTCTTCAAAATAGCTATTCGTAGTATTGCAGACAATAATATAAAACAACCCAGATTAAAGCCATTCCAATTATTGAGTGAAAACATTATATGGCTTCAAACCAGTGTGTCTGGGGACCCTGATTACCACATACTTTTATGTATTGTTATCATTACTTACACTAGAGAAACAATTCGGTATTTATACATGTGAGTTTGATTTATTTCACTTATGAGTATGTCTCAATGTGATCATTCTTTATAGCTGAGTAGCACTCCATTGTATAAAAACACCACAACTTTTATCCATTCCTCAGTTGATGGACACTTGGGTTGTTTCCAAGATCTGGCTATTACAAATTGTGCTGCTATAGACATGGGTGCACATATATCACTGTGGTATGATGCTTTCAGCTCTTCTGGGAATATGCCTAAAAGTGGAATAGCTGGGTCAAATGGGGCTTCCAGTCCCAGTTTTCTGAGAAATCTCCAGACTGAGCTCCACAATGGTTGCACTAGTCTGCACTCCCACCAACAGTGGAGGAGAGTTCCTTTTTCCCCACAGCCTCTCCAGCATTTGTTGTTGGTTTTCTTGCTAGCCCAAATCAGTTCCCTGGGCCTGGTGGTGCACCCTAGCAGGGTGCACTAGGTGCACTAGGAAGCCTGTTGATCTGGAGAGACAGGCCCAGCAGAGGCCACCCAGGTCTGTGTCTCCCTAGTACACTGCAGTAGGCGGGAACACCTAGCTGGCAGATTCAAACAAACTGTAACAGACAAAGAGAAAAAAAAATGGGCCTCCTATATATGCTTGTAGGGAAGGAACAAAAAATATGGGAAGAGGGAGCAACAAGAAAGTGTCCTCAGTCCCCAATCCTGAGAACACTGATCCAGGAAAGGGAAATGCAAAGGAAGACAGAAAACATGCAATATCAAACACAGCACCAATAGACATAAAGCAGTATCTCCGGAGCCTCATAGACGAGTTCAAAAATGAACTATTTAATGAAATAAAGCAAGAAATAAGTAGAATAGTTAGAGAAATGCTAAGCACCATCCAAGAAAATACAGATGGTGGAATGGAAGAACAGAAAAAAAAATGGAGAATTGTTTGATGGAGAAAATAGAGAAAACATAGAATATGTGAAGCAGTTTCAAAGAGATTACCAGGAA